CTTCTTTATCTTTCAATCTATTAACTTATTAAGAAATTTTTCATAGATTGCTGCAGACATTGGAGAGTTCTTTAATAAGTATCAATGTATTGACACGAATCTCAAAAGGGCATTAAATTAAGTATCAATGAAATGCTGGTAAGAAGATTATTAAACTAATAAATGGTCTAAATCTACATATATTTCGTTATGAAGTGAAAAATTTTTTTCTTTTTTGTTGTTGTTGTTGTTTTATTTCTATTTGAGTATATGATATATTAGAATATTTGATAGTTTAATTAATTTTATTAATAATTGAATTATTTGAAAAATTTCAATTTGAAAATCGATTGAATTATTTTCTTTAAAATTTCATTGTTTAGACTCAATTGAAAATTAATTTATTCTCTGTTAGGATTTTACTTATTAGACCTTATTGTTTAATTTACTTGTCTTAATTTGATAAGATCTTGAATAATGGAATGAATATCTATTGATGTTTTCTGTTATTAAAAAATAGTATGTAATTGATGATAATATTTATCCAAATTTGATTTATTTTTAGGCTACAAAAATAAATATTCCATTAAAGAAGTTAAATAGAAATAATTTATTCAAAAACTAAACGTACGTTTTCAACAGCATTGTTATCAAGTTGTTTACCAATAGTACGCAAAAAATGACATAAATATTTAAGATTTTCTTCATCAGTTTTATTACGAAATAAACATATAAGACTTGAAATAGATATGTTATCGTGATAAATATTTTTCTGTTCTCCAAACTAGAGTTTATGATAGGGAAAAAAAAGTCTGATTGATATAAATTCATATTACCTAAGAAATCTGATTATCAAAGATGATCTGATCAGACAAAAAAAAATCATGTTGAAACATAAAGAGTGTTCCATAGTGAAGGTCACTGTGACTTGAGAAGTTTTAAGCGAATTCTTTTTTTTTTATACGAGAAATATGAATGTTCAAATTTTCTCTCATATGATTATCATGCTATAATAACAGAACGACTTCCCCTATTGTGCAGTTCGTTTTGTATACGAACATGTACAGAAGTCGTATATGCGGTGTACTGCTGCCCAACTTCTCCACCATTTGTGAGTCTGTCGTTTATGGAATGTCTTAGACTCTTGTCCCACTCTATGGTTTAGGCTAGAAGACGATTAAATATTAGATCCTCGGTCTGCAACGGGAACGAGAAATCTCACGTAAAAGCAAAATAAACATTCGTACCGGATCTTGTAATGATGAATAAAGATAAATAGATCAATTAACCGGTTAATGTTTCATAATAATAATAATAGGAAATGATAATTACAATGTAATGAAAAGAGAAGGAGGAAGATAACAAAAATAATGATAACAACAACAAGTATACCAAGCATTGAAAAGATAAAGAAGGAAAACCAATGGAAAACAATTGGACAGTTAGCGATAACAGAGCAACCTTATTGACGCTAACACGGATGTCGGCCGTTTGAGGTACTTGATATGATGTCATCAGTCGACCGACTCGCTCCCCCGAGAAATAACGTAATATGTAAACGGTCCTAAAAGTGACTGAACGATGGGCTATTATTTTTAAACTATAATTATATTGTTATTTTAACATATAACGAATGATGATTAAATTGATTCATTCGTAATACTTTGATACCGATTTGTATTACAACGTCTTCCATGATTAAAAATATATCGTCATGAAAACTAACTAAAATGATTCTTTTTTGTTTTAATCTCACATTTGTTGAATTGGTGATTTTTTTTTAATCTAAATTTGGTTTAAAAAAGTTTGTTTTGACTCTCAAGAAATTTTGAACAGTAATTCATCTAATACACAAATATCTGAATTAAAATTTATTTAAATATTTTAGGATATTCTATGATTTAAAATTTCTTTTTTACATATTAATTCCATAAAACATGAATATATTATATTGATCAATTATTCATTCTTGTCAATCTGATAAGATTATCAAGAAAGATAGAATTATAATGAATTTAATGAAACATTTTAATTTAATAAACATTTTCAACGAAAAGAATATGAATCACATAGTTTCAATAGCAATATTTTGTACTAAAAAATTACATCGATTGAATGTCATACTTTTTGTGATTATTTTCAAAGAAAATAGTGAATGTAAGCTTAAATCGACGTTTTTGCTCTCTAGACTCTAGCAAGAGGGGAGGGGCAGAAAGCATCTGGTACATGTTTTTAGCAACCAAGAACAATAGATGTCCGACTCCTTTTCCAGAGTTCCTTATCAATGGAAAAAAAAAGACACTGAACAGCAAGATTTAGAATGTTCTAGAATATTCCTTTGAATGGCTGGTATTACGTTTGCAAATCTTCTAAATAATACAATTTCTGATTTTTGCGCAGATGTCAAGGATGATGCATTGATTTGTTACAGTCGTCATATGATCAACATGAAAAGTGTAAACTGATCTAGTTATAATTTTAGACAATAATCAATATCAGTGTCACTGAGTTTATCAGGATAAATAATAGTATTTTGAGATCTTCGGTAGATATAATGGATATGTATAAACAGGCTTATTTGTTAATCAAATCAATGGTTAGAATGACAAGAATAAAAAACGAAAAATAACTAGTTTGTTAGAGATTTTTCTGATGATTATATCTATTTAAAATAAATCAATTGGTTTTTTTTGCATAAAAAAATAGTATACTGTATTTATTTTTGATTACTATAAATCTGAATAATTAGAATAATTTTTTCATATTACATTATATTCAATTGACAATTAAGAATTAAAAACATATGTTTTATAACTTACTCGAATGATTTTCATATCAAATCAAAATCCAAAGTCTTTATTTATTAATAAGTAGTTATTTTTGTTTATACAAATCTTTTGTAATCAATAAATCAAGCAAAATAAACTAGACGAATTGTTTATATTTTATCAAGTTTTATATTGATAAGTAGTAGAGTGAAAAGAACGAAGCAAGTTATTTATTTATTATTTTTTTCCTAATTACTTTGTCCTTTCTATCCGCTTGATATAACAAAAAAAAAGAAAGCAACAGAATGATAACAGATTTTACTATTCTTGGCAATCTTTGTATAATCATTTTATGTTTTCTAACATTCAAACGAATTCAATGTCATCAATTACAACATAAAAATATCAATAAAAAGAGAACATTTTTCAGGCATGGAGTATAGATAAGATCTACATCTACATCCAATACTTCTAAATTTCTATGTTTGAAATCATTTTAGTGAGTATCATTCAAAGTAGAAATTAATATTTTGTTTAATCATAGGATAGCAAATATAGTAATGCTCAATATCACATTAGGTTTATACATAGGCTGCACAAACGTATTGAATCTACAGTAGACTTAACAATCGTTGTAAGACTTTCGCTGGAAAGTTAAGAATAGCAGGAAGAAGAGTAAATCTTTTTTTACGTCATTCCGATGAAATACAGTCAGTTGTTTGAATCTATCCAAGTCTTGTATCTCTGTTGTCTATATACATACTAAAAGTATTAACCCATGTGATAAAAACTGCGATAAATCACAGTAAATCACTAGTACTTTTTCCGGTAAACCGCAGTTTACCGGCTCTGTTCGAACTTTTGCCTCGTCAATATTTGTTATGAATTTAAAAATTATCTTTCAATTAAATTAGTTTATTTCACTTAAAAAAATATAAGCAAACAAAAAAAACATCTTACATAGCGAAAACGAAAAACTTACATTACAAAACAAACGTAAAATAATGAATACAAAAAAAATTCATTTAACGATTTAAAAACGCAATCTAAAAATCAGATGTAAAAAACATAGATTAAAAATAAAATAGTAAAAAATGGATCTAAAAAATAAGTGTTATAAAACAATCTAAAAATTAAATATAAAAAAATTAATCTAAAAGAGAAGTGAATTCACGTTTTTTCACTTTCTTTTCTCAATATCTCAACACATTCAAATCGGATAACGCTGATTACTTTCAGAAGATACATAAGTTGGACTGCTCCACATGTCATGAAAGTTTCATTGGATTTTATCATTCTTTTATAGTTTTATTATTTAAATATAGGTCCGTGACGGAATCACCAAAAATGAACATCGAGTTGCAGTGTTGTGCGAAGAACTAAAAATTTTGGCTCAACCACAGGAGTAATAAAAAAAGCTTTGTATACGAAAGTTATCGCTTGGATAACTAGCTATATACAGAAAAAAAAGCAATTCAAAATATATAGTAGCTCGACCTCACAAGTGAAAAATAGTGTCGTGACGGAATCACTCTTTTCGTGATGGAATCACGCTTCAAAAATGTTGATGTTTAGTAATAGTTTATTTCTGCAGAAAGATAGGAATAGTTAATTAAAGTTAACATACAAAAATATCACTTAGAATAAAACAATCAATAGCACTATTTCAAACAGTCTTAATAATATAAAAGTACTTAGGGCATACCAAAAGTATGGGCAGTGACACTTTAATACTGAATATCAAGCTTTAGGAAACTTTCTTTCTATATAGTCTGATAGAGAAAAGAATGCTCTATTTCTTTTTGCTATTTGATCATACTTCAACTAATATCACAATAATAAAATTTCGATAAGATCTGTTTCGTTACTATATGTACTGGTTGGATTAATATTCATTTTTAAAACATACTCAATCGTATTTTTTGAATAACTTTTGACAGAAACAAGATAGAGAAATGCGGTTTTCATTATTGGAAAGAGGAGATGAAGACACATCGAACTATATACTCCAGAATTTCCGAATATGTTTTTTGCAAGATTTTTAATTGACCTTTTTAAGAACAAGAATATCTGGTAAGTTGTTTACAGTGAATTTTCAATTATCAAGTATAAATTCAAATCATTAATCAAAGATCTATAAACTGTGGAAGACTGAGATGAATAATATATGCACTTTAGTCGAGCCTTCAATACGATTTTTTAGCAAAAGCTGTGAAAAACGTTTTTTTGTGCTTTTTTTCTGTTTTTCATAAACAAGAACATTTTTTCGACACTTAGAATATCAAACAAAAATACTTGAGAAATCAATATTAGAAAAGTCTATAATATATGATTCAATGCATCTTCATTTCCTCTTTGGAACGGTGAAAACTGCAGTTCTCTATCTTGTTTCTATCAAACATTATTCATAAAATACTCACTAACATTCATGGAACGGTGACACATGTGAATAAGACAGATATTATCAAAATTTTATTATTATGATATTAGTTGAAGTATGATCAAATATCAAAGAAATAAAAAGCATTCTTTTCTCTTGAAGACTATATAGAAAGGTATAGTTTCTTAAAGTTTAATATTCAGTACTACAGTGACACCACTCCTACTTTTGATATGTCCTAACTATTTTTAAACGGCATTCATTCATTAACTAAGATAGAAAATTAAACAAAAAAAAACGATAAAGAATGTGCAATGTGATTGGTAGATCTATCTCGACATTAGAAAACAGCGTAAAATAGTAATAATAAAGTTGCCACTATCAGCTATTACCATTTAAACGATATTACTTGAAAACAAATCCTTTTAAAAGTACATCACAACTACCATAAACTAACTGCCAGCTTTATTGTTAAGGTCCTTAAATATCTTCTACGTCCCCAAACATCCATCTGAGATAGTAATATAAAACAAAACTAATGTCTCTAATTTTGGTAAAACAATTTTCACTATCCGATGGTGATTCCGTCACGATCGCTAAACTACACTCGTATGCTTAACTAAAAATGCGAAGTAGTTCATCTCATAGAGCGTTAAAAAGTAACGTTAGAGAACTTCTTGGTAAAATTAAAAAAATCCTTGCTTCAGGCAGAAAACGAATTACAAGATATTTTCGTGACGGAATCACACTGACAAATGGACTAGTTTACAAGTACAAATATCTTTTTCAGGAAACGGCGAAATCTAGGTCTTTCGACATGGACATAGAGATCATTCAAATTACTTTTACATTTTATGATCGACTTTAGAAAAAGCATATTTTCTCATACGATAAATCAGACCATAAAAATGATGCCATATAATTTGGTCTTCATTGAGTCTGCGAGGCATGTCTTTAACAACAGTTGTTTCTCGAAGATAGGTATACCTGCGTAGATAAAAAATACATTTGCCTACGTTGTCAACCTTGCTCTACAACATGGTCATATTTGTTTTGTCTAACTGTGTAAGTTGATTTCCCCACATCGGTTGACCGTTACGTCGACAGGTCGAAATATCTAATTATCGGATCGATAGAAAAAGTTTCAAAGCAAGATCATAATATAATTCATTATGTAGAGAAGACTATATAGGACTACTAATTACTATACTGACAATGTCTCATGTAAAATAACTGTTACTCACAAGATTATAGATCAATGAGTTGAATGTAGTAGTAAGAAGTAATTTTAGTATAACGTCGGACAACAATATGTTTGCTGATTCAGAATCGAATCAAGATATATCCTTCTTTTTTTTATTTCTTGTATTTTCCATATACAGATTCATCTCTTTGTCTCAGTTTAATTTTTTTGTTTTTTAATCATAGTTAGAATAAAATAAATTTTGTGTTCACATCTCTGCAAATATATTGAATTTCTTATTATTTTTATTCAGATAGTTTGTATCAGTCAGAAACATTATTCTATAAGTATATAAAAACTGAATGAAAAGCATTTATATTTACAAAGTCGATTTTTGAATAGAGAATGTTTATTTTCATATTAACAAATAAATAAGATAAAAACTATTGATAATTTTTTATCATCAACAAATACAATATGAACTTTTGCATTTATTATGAAAATAAAGAATAAATATTAATAATTGTTAGTACAGATATATGAAACAAAAAAAAAATACATAAATTAGTTAAATATTGTCATTGTCTCTTTAATCAATCAATGTAAAATAAAAGTCAATATTTAATGTTGATGCATTGATTTGAATCCATGAATATATATCTTGTCTAATCTTGCCGAGTATTATTATTGATAATTTTCTACATTTTGATAATATTAATAATAAATTATCAAGTCTCATATAACATCGATCTTCTTGACAATTTGATGCACTATAAAATGAATCTATATCATTAGATTTTATATATATATTTCGATTATCATCAGAGATATCCAGTTTAATAATATTTTTATTTAATAATTCACATATTTGACTATTTTTCAGATATAATGTTAAAATATTATTTTCAATCGTTAATTCAGATAGACATGGTGATTGTATTAATATTTTTAATAATAATGATGGTGTCATGCAACATTCATCATCGATAATTAAGTGTTTAATGTTGGATAAATTGACAGTCATATGAAGAAATTTTATTTGTTTTTCTGATAATATATATTCATCTATTTGATCATCATCATCATCTTCACATGTTAATGTTAATGATTGTATATTATTAAAATAATATAAATTTTTAATAATTGGTTTTAACCATACAGTTATATTTTTAACATTATTAAATCCATTTGAATGATTTATCAATGAATTAACATATTTATTCATAGTAGGAGTTAATCGATATTCATAACCTATATATGGCATCGTATATATTGATACTAAAGATTCATTAATTTCATAATTAGTATACCATTGATGTTGTTTAATCCAAAAATCAGTTCGAAATTCTTCAAGTTTCTTCAATATTTTATTATAATCATCAATAGCATAATAATCAAAAATGAATTTNTCAATTACATATCATATTTGATATACAAAAAAAGAGACAATCATCAGATAAGTAATCTAAAAGATGTTGATTAGTAGATAGTAGATATTTACGATTGAATAACGAAGGGTGTGGGTGTGGGTGTGTGGGTGGGTGTGGGTGTGGGTGTGGGTGTGTGGGTGGGTGTGGGTGTGGGTACGGCTGTGAGTTTGGGTGCGAGTGTGAATCTAAAGAGCAGAATTAATCGCACCCACCCACACTCCACACCCACCCACACCCATACCCACACCCACACCCACACCCCTCCATATAAAACTGACAGATGTTAGACACCAATTGTAACGTTCATGTATCTATGGATATGAAAGAAGAACGAACAATAGTTAATCTGTAACTAAAATGATTCCATATGTGGATGAGATCCTTCTAAAGATCCGAAACGCTCTACACTTATCAGAATCTGTCAAATATCGATTGTAGCAAAAAAATTCAAAACCGTACATGACAGCTTTTCGTTGTCCAATATTGAAGCCATTCTGTTTGATAAATACTGTCAATTACCATTCTATAATCTTCAGCCATTTTCTCTCAATTAACGTACGCATTTGTGAAAGTGTTTTGTTTTTTATAGAAACCAGAATTCATCTCTGATTCGATGATTTTCTCATACTGATCATCCGTTTTTTCCATTTTGTGACCCATTTTTCGTTGTCAATAAAGATGGTGATATACTGCATTGGATGTTGTATATTTGATGTTAAAAACCTTTCAAAGTAATATTATTCACGTGAACAGCAAAGTCGTACCTGAATTCCTCATCTTTTCTCTCGACAAAATTTAGTCAATGCAACGCAGTACAATATTTTATTGATCGCATGAATATCTACGAAGTATAGTTGGTTCGAAACCAATCGAATGTTTTTCACCGGATCGAACAAGCATGTAGCAGATTGATTGAAATTCTTCACTTAACTGGCTGAAAACTAACGAAAAACCGTTCCATGTGAACATACCAATTATCAACTTACTAGTTCTTTTAAGAAAAAAAAACTATCAGTGCATGTCCACGAAGATACAGAATATGAAGCTAGTAGAAATGCTAGTTTCTAATAGATACAGCTGGTATTTCAGTTCATTAGATTCAACCTGCACTAATACTAAGAACAAAGAAAGAACTCTTTCAAAACTTTTCATCTGTTAACTCAGAAATAGTGATATTGAACAACATCTATGCTTTATTTTGCCTGATTTTCTTTCATAAAGATATAATTTCTTCGCAAGAATTCATAACTTTGATGTTTTCTTATTCGAGATCACTATTTGCTGTAAACAATATTAGCTACAAAGTTCAATTTTTAAACAAGGCTTCATAGTTTTAGGCTTCTCAATTAGTAGTAGAACCAGTAATAGCTGCACATCGAATTTTTCAGAAACTCTCGAGCCTTTACTCCCAAAAGAAAATTATTGTATCTAATCCTTTCGTTAAAAAACTTGCGTGAAATACAAACGAAATAAGTACTTTTAACTACTTAACTTTATTGTATTATGAGAAAGTGTGAGTTCAAATTTTAGAGATGATATTTTGATAAAGATTAAAAGTGAGTCAGTTGAAAAATTTTGTGCTTATATTTTTACACCATTAAAAAACCTTAAAAATCAATAAAATAAAAGCGTAAATCGGCTGATCTAGCTCAAAGTCTAAAACTATTTGTAAGTATAAACAATCTTTGCGCCATGGCTACACTCTTTATCAAAAAGGGCAATACATTTTTATTTCTAGTAATTTATGATATATTATGTTTGTTCTTTATGATTCTATATTATTTATATATTTCGAGTATCATTAAAGTATAATTATTAAAATAGTACTTGTAAAGAAACGTACATTTCCATCACAATCATGAGAACTTTGATTTTTAAATGATTAATTCTTTATTTCTATTCATAAAAAGTAAATTTGGCCGAATTAAATATAAGACTTGCCATTCTTAAGGTTTTGCCTTTAGCCATTTAAATACATTGTTCTAAAAAGACAATTTTTTATCTTTAGTTTCTGCAAATAATTTTAATTTACTTTAAAATCAACTGTTTTTTTTTCTTCTATTATTCCTTGTGTTACGTATTTATCTACAAACAACATTAAAAATCTTAAGTTTATTCAGTAAAAAAGAAATCATTAATAAGATGAAATGTTTAGGATTAAATATTTTGTACTTTTTTTATTCGATCGTATGTAAATGAATACTTAAATTTTTTTGTTTCTACTTACAATTCATTGGTAAAATGGAGAAAATATTTTCTTCATATGTTGAATTATTAAGCATTATTCTTTTTATTTTATTTCATTATAAATTTTAAAAAAAGCCATTGAATGAAAGAAATAAAAATCAATCTATTAACATATTTTTCATAGGAAAAATTCAATTTATAATAAGTCGAGACATTAAAATAAAAGAATCATAAATTTCAAAGAGTAGAAAAAGATTATTGCTCTTCTTATATTGCATTATAGTCTCTAATAAAACAATTGTTACTTCTTTTCTTCATTTCAAAAATGATAAAACTAAAATATGATAGAATTATTTCCTTCTTCCCGAACGAAAAATGCGCTTCATGATTATCTTACCTTGTGGAAAGAAGTTTTATCAAAAGAAAAGAAATATTCTTATAATTACAATTCCATTGAATTTTAATTTCATATTTCTTTTTTTTCCTCAGTCATTAATCCTTTGCTCCAATTACCAATAGACGTCCTATTTTCATAGTTTCAATTTGTTAATTAACTGCTACTAAGTATTTGAATTCATCAATCAGTTGGTATGCTTGACTTAAGTGATGATTTTTCATGTTATCAAATTAATTTTTTCCTATTCTATTCACGTGATTCTCTTACATAACATAATATTTCTTATACGTTTTTTATTCATATTCAAGTTTCTATTGGAAATATTACAAATGTATTGCTCTTCGTCTAGAAATCGTTCCAGTACAACTATGTGTAAACCAATGTCATTCAATAATCCTTATTATCATAAGAAATGAGTAAGTCTATCATATCTGAACAGAATGTATCAAAAGAATTTTTCAAATCATTGTCGGAAATGTTTATTTATTGTAAAACAAATTCATACTTTACGAAAGATTCAATCCAATAATTATCTTTCATCAAATGAACAGAAATGCCGTTTAGTTGCTTTGTTTTTATCGAATTGCTGTATAACTATGTAAAATAATCCTACTCTTTTACAAATATTCCTTTATATACAGTTAGAACATGCCTTACAAAAAGACCATGCATATCAGTTAAAACATTCTATGATCGAATTTAGAAAAGCTACATTTTACTGACACAAAAAGTCAGACAACAACAACGATGATACATATTACTCTTGATTGATTCAATACGAAATCTTTTTAGCAATAGTTTTTTCTTGAAGATTGACATACGTGCAGACACTAAAAATGCATTCTTTTATGCTTTTAACATTTCTCTACAAGATAGTTATATTTGTTTCAATTAATCTATGACTTAAGTTTTTGCATAAGATTGCATCGTTAAGTGGAAAGATCAATCACACTAAATTGAGCCAGTAAATTTGAATATAAAATAAAAAACTGATAACACTATTTTTTTATCAAATTAGTATGAAGACAACTTCGTGATAAGACCTAAAAATAGGCTTCCAAAAAAACCAGATTTGTTTTTCTAACTATCATTTTGTAAGATTTATGATGTTTATTTAACACAGATAATTTATAACAATAATGAACGACACGTGTAATATATGTACTACAAAGGTAGGCATTTTAAAATGTCAAGGCTGCCAAGTCATATTTTGTAGTAACGAATATAATTTATATCGAACTAGGCTTGATCAACAACTTGATGAATTTGTGAATGAACTAAATACATATCAAGGCATGTTAAGTGAAGCAAGTACCGGCGGGAAATGGCTTTTGCTTGATCAAATTAATACTTAAGAGATAAAATCAACTCTAAAGATAAAAGAAATAGTACAAGAAGCACGTCAGTAAGTTTAATTATTGGTTTTCAGGATACATGATGAGAATGAAATAGCTGAACAGATACAACAAACTTTACAAAAGAATGATTTCGGCGAATGAGATTTGACGAAATGGAAGAAAAGATTCGATGAAGTCAAACTAATTATTTCAAAACTAGATAGATCTGTTGATGAGCGATAGTTTGAAAATCCTTTCATAATGAAGATTTTTTTGTCAATGAAAAAAAGACAGTTTTGAACAAACTGTGGACTTGTATGTATTGAAGACGATGGCCATCTTGTTCGTCACAGGTTCAATCTCTTCAGAATTTGTGGCAAAATATGTGGAAGACGACAATGGGGTATTGGTATTCATCGGATTAGAATCAAAATTGATCAACGTGATAGGCAGTCATGATGGTTTTTTGGTATTATCTCAAAATCAACACCTATTGTAATTAAATTCTCAGAATTCGTCTTCAGCTTATGGTTGGGCTGATCACAATGAAGTAAACGTGAATGCATATATCAGTGACTATGATGAAAAAGGAGATATAATTGAACTTATTCTTGACTAATATCCATTCCACAACGCTCTATGAAATAAACGTTGATCTTACATACCATCCTTTTCCTTGGATGATTTATTTGAATTTATTTCATATACAATCTTGTATAAGAATCAATCGATCAATAGTTACAAAAAAAAATAAAAATAAAAGTTTCAATTTCGACTATTTTTGGTCGCAAAATATTTAAATAAACCAACAAGATCTTATTTTGTCTTCTACACATGGAAAATAACGTGATGTTGAAATCCCATAGACGAAATCTGAATGAATGTCTTTTTACATATTGATTCTCTTTAAAGTATCTCTGATATATCACTATAAAGATTTGGATGTGCCATAAGATAAAACTTTTCGAGCTTTACAAATTCTTGAATTGAATTTGGAAGAAAAATGGAGTTTTTCTTCGCCTGAAAGAATGATCTCAATATTCATACAAATACTATACATCATAATAGATTAGGAACTATATTCGTATGGATCTTATTAAGTATAAGTTTTGATTGAATTCATTTTGATTCTAACGGAGTACTCGTCTAAGAAAATATTTCATAAAAAAAAATTTATAATTATTTTTCTTTCTTTTAGATTGATTTATTTTGAGGAAACTAGTTTTATATAGTCATGATTATTACCAAAAATTATGTTTTAGTTTTTCATTGTATTATGATAAAATTTGATTCTTTTCATTTTCACTAATCCATATTCGAATATTTAATACATCATTTTTATCTTTTGTTATTGAATAAGTCAATGGTAAACACATGCGTAACCATTGAACAAGTTCATCATTCATTGATGAAATATCTTTATTACTCCATTTATCATCTTTACATTGAAAACTTAATGATCGAAGATTATTTATTGTTTTTATAAGATCTAAAATATTTGTTCGATTTTCAACTTTCATTATAAGAACTTCACATTGACGTCCAATTTGTGAATTAGACAAAGCCTTACATTCCATAGTATAAAAATGTATTATATTTGATGAATATTTAGTTAAAAAATTCAGACGACGAATCGATGTACTTTTAAGTTGTTCAAATGATATTTTTAAATCACTAGAATAGAAAAATCTTAATGTATATAAACAAGATGATATATTAAGTAAAGTTTGTAATTGATAATGACTATAATTTTCATCTAATACAATTTCAAGTTTAGTCAATTGATTTAATGAAAGAATATATGATCAAAAAAATTATCATCAAAACAAATACCAAGTTTTAAATATTGAATATTTGGCAATTGTATTGGTAATGGCATTGATATATCATTGTTATTCGTTTTATATTTCATATATTGTAAACATTGTACTCGTTTATATAACCAATAAATTCTATTATTCGGACAAGTATATTTCGATTTTGATACATCATAACAAACAAATGTATCAAATGTATATGGTAATGTATAAAGAATTTCATGATGATATGATCCAAATTGTATACAATCACATTGAATAAACCATTGATGTTTTTCAATCCAAAATGAATTTATATATATATCAATTAATTAATTAAGTTGTTCATCAACATTTTTATGATGTAAAAATTCAAAATACATACGCAATCGAAAAATTTTTAATTGAGTCCATTTAAATAAATATCCATTGTTTTTAATGTTAATGAATATAAATTTGGCATCATTTGAAAAAGATTATCATTACAGGTACAGAACTTTCAAATGTTAATTTTAATGATGTTATTGATGATTTTACTATAGATATTTGTTTATCTTCAAAATTAAAATGAATAGTTGTATTAAGATATTGAAGATAAGGTTTATATAGATCTTGTAGACTACATGTAATATATTCCAATAGATAGATTTTGAATTGATAATGAAATAGTTGAAATTTTATTTAACCAAAATTTACTTGATGAATTATAATTTAAATAGAAATAATTAAGTTTTAGTAAACTCCAAATATTATTAATTAAAAATTGAATATCATTTTTTTATCATCATTATAACCATCGATCATATAAAGATGTGTTAAATAAGGAAGTTGACGACATTGAAATATTAATTGATTGAATTGAAGAAAGTAAAAGAAATTGTAAATGAGTAAATTTATCACGAGTAAAATTATACAAAAGAAATATTTCCGATAGATTTGGTGTTTCATCATTATCAGATATAGTTAAAGATGTAACGAAGTAAATGAATACCATCTAAGAATTTAAATAAATATAATAATAATTTATTTGCTAATCATTCTAAATACATTTTTGCTTGATTTTATATTAATATAGACTAATACATTTATATATTAATTTAATGACGTATAATAATAACGGCTACTTTTATCTTACTGTTTCTTTTTTTTCTTTGATAAAAAGATCAAGATAAATTTATTTTGCTGTTTTTTTTAATGTCTCTTTAGTATACAAAACGAAATGACCTTTGCTTGTCATTGTTTTGTAGACGAAATTAGTTTAAAAATCGTTTAAAGACGCTTACATTCGAAATTTGTATTTTATGAAATAGTTTTTCTGTCTTACAAGACAAGAGAAATAAGATGATTTATGTAATGATCAATGTAGATATTTAACTGGAGAGAATTAATTAACTTACCTCAAAATCAATCTAAGATAATTATTTACGATGTTCATTGAGAGTAAGTTTAGATATTTACAAAGTTTATAAAAATTGATTGTGCATCATCTTATCAACTTTCTTTTTTTTTTGAAATTCTCAAATCTTATATCTTTTTCTTCGACATTATTTGAAAAGTATTAAAAGAAAATATGTTCAAGAAAATGTTATTCATAAAATTTGAAAAAGATTTTTTTTTAATACGATAAGGAATAAATTAAAAAGTAGAAATGTAAGGAAAAAAGCAAGATGGAATAATGGCTGCAATATGTGGCCATAGATTCTTTTATGTTTAGAATTGAAAAGTAATAAATACTTTCATCTTTATGAATACATGGAATTTCGTGAGATGTTTTGTCTAAGTCCGATACTAAAACAAGTTGAGTTTCATTGATCCATGCAACGCCTTCTATATTGCAATATTCTATTTCACATGTAGTTTCATTGATAATTTTCCGTGGTAAATTGTGTACACCAGTCTTGTCTGATAATGTTATTCGAAAATATGAACTTAAATTGATTTCTTCTATCATACCAATCCATAATTAACTATTCTCTTGACTTGTTATAGCAATATAGGTTGATGTTTGTTGTGTATGAGTGGATATTGCAGAATAATCACGAAATTTAAGATTCGATGGTAGATTTATTATTTGAGCTTCAAAAATATTTGAATTATATTCATTTGAACTAACACTGGATGGAATTGTTTATTGTGCTATAAAATATGTGTCATTTAATGGATTATAGGCTATACCTTCGAATTCTGAATCGAGTTTATTAAATGTATTATCAGGCCAATCGAGTAATTTATTAGTACAATTCATAGTTTGAATAGCCAGCAAATTGCAAAAGGCATCGATTTGAAACGTATTATCAAATATGATATACATCATAAGAGAATCTGATCGAAGTACAACACCTGAAGCTTCGAAAGTATCGATAACATTAGATTGAATATTTTCGTTTTTATAGTATCTTAAAATATAAAACGCAACGTTCTTTACAATCAAAGAAAACAATGAATACCATACGATGGTAAATTATTCAATGAATCACGAATGTCTTGTTCATGCAATAATTTTAATATTAGATTGCCATTACATGAATCATCCTTACCATGAATGTTAATAAAATAGGTTATAATTAAAACATATCGTATCATAAGAATTGAGTTGTGCAGTTTCATTTTAATTTTTGTTGTTGTGCTTTTGTGCTACTCTAGGTAAAATTAAAACATTTCAATTTCAACACAGTTCATATGGAATAAAAATATGAGATATAATCTAACAAAGAGTGTGTATGTATCGTTTATCTCTATGATCGCCACCAATCTAAAGAATTTTGTATTTTACAAGTACAAAAAAATAATCATATCTGTAAAAATATTTATCAAATGAAAATAATGTAGATTTATGCTGTTCTTTCGGCTTAAATCTATTATAACACTATAAGTTCGTCAGTGGAAGATAAGAGAGATAAAAAGAAAAGAAAAATAGCTAAATATTTTTACAATGTAGTTATTTGAGTCTTCAAGAAACGAAACAAAGATAACAAAACTACTACTAAGTTTTTCTTCTTACTAGTAATCTCTTTGAGACTGAACTAAAAATATAATAAATAGAATGTTCTGACAATAAATCTCCAGATATTTTGTCGAGAATTTAAAAAAAATACTGCAAGACTAATTGTTGCATGAAAAAAATCGAACAGAGTTCTTACATCGGTATCATATTATGTAAACTTTTCCAACTTGCTTAGGCAGTTTTTTAATAATTACTAATCAGATAGCTCAAACTCTTTCCAAATGAATAGAAACGGGGATTACTTCCAAGGTTCTTTTAGAAAATACTCTAAAAAAAAACCGATAACATAGTTGTGCTACTTATTCTTCTTAATCTGTCTTTGACATCGTATTAAATGCTGAAATAGAGATTTTTATTTTTCCTAAATATTTTGTATTTGATAAGAGTAATTAAGACAAAAGAACAAATATTGATGCAATTCACAAGATATTACAAAGGCAAGCATAATCTATTGGAATTCAACTTGAATATTAATCTATATTATTAATAAAAAAGACATACTTTTCTTAATCCAAAAAACATATTCGAACATCATCAAATACTTATAACGTCATAGAAGAAGTTCTCAGATAAAAAAAAGAAAAATCAGTAATTAACGTAGTTAATCTTCTCGAAAAACCTTGAACTCGTAAGTGTTGTATTGGTAATCAGTGTACAGAAACATCTTTTCAAAAGATGTTTTTTCGAAAAATGAGGATACAATTTAACAAGACACTGTCATGCACCAAATGATTGACTGAGTTCGAATTTCATCTAGGTATTAATCTGATCATGATAATAATGTGAATGATGAAACTGAAATAGTCCGATATTCTATATGCTAAGTTTAACTGCTGTATTATCGCTTCATAGTATGACAAGATTTCGTATTGAACATAAAAAATTCTTGTTTTTTGTAAGTCAAGTAAACATGTCATACCTAACAACAAGGCTTCACAAGGTTTCTCTGATTATCAATCAATGTGTCATCATTTTGTTAGTAGACCTGAAATTCATAGATCAATTTGTCCAACATGCCATTGAACAGCAAAGATGATTAGTTTGTCGTTTACTCTTTCTATTTTGTAGATTATCGAAAGTTTACAGTGAACACAAAAACATGCATGTTACACGACTCAGTGTGACAAAAAAAAGTACAAAAAACATTTCCTAAAGAACAATTTGCTAACAATCGCACTAGAACTGAAATGTTGAATTGTTTGAATAGAATATCTCAAGCTGGTAAGATAATCTCTTTTGCTTCGACCAATTTGATACCCTCGGAAGCTATGACAGTGATTTTTCCATCTGCCCATATTCTCAACTTCAAAAAAGCACAATTGGTGATTTGCCACCGTAGACCAGGATGAAAATCTAAGTGATACAGTATACTTCGCAAGATACCACCATGACTAGAAAATAAAATTGGATCATCACTCATTGGCGGAGAAAATGCAATAGAATGGATAAAATTTTGTATTCGTTGATATGCATCAGAGTAGCTTTCACAAGTATCGTCCCATTTAAACGATAAATATTCTTCTTGCGTGAAATTATTCACATTGAATGTTTGTTCCAAGTATGATTTCAAGTCTCCAGCCAAACGTCCTTCCCATGTTCCCATGCTTCTTTCTCGAAGAAGTGGTGTTTCGATAATAGTTAATTTATTTGAACCAAGAATTAATTCAGCAGTTAAACGTGCCCGTACCAAATCGGATGAGAACACTTTTGAGAAATGAATGTCGGCGAACTTTTCTTGAAGCTGATAAGCTTGTAGTTTGCCTTGTGTATTTAAAGGAATATCTGTATGTCCTTGAAGTCTTTTTTGAGCATTCCAATCAGTTTCACCATGCCTTACTAGGTAGATATCAACGAACATATTTCGAGTAATGATAGTTAGTCCGTGAACTTTGTAAACATCACGAATGTTTTGAATTTCAGTTTCTACCCTACGGACCACTTTATTTATTTCGTCCGGTTTCCAAGAGAATTGTTTAACGTGGTTTGATTCTTTCGAAGACGTAGCATTCATATCGAAAAATGTTTCAAAAAGAGGACCATCCAGTTGAACATCATCAATATATTTTCCTTCTGGATTGCCGCATCCAAACACATGACCATGAAGAAAAATTGATTCTTGAGGTAAACTTGATTGATTGATATTCGTTTTTGAGTCAAACAAACGAATATTATTTTCCGTAACTGAATTTTGAGCGATTGGTACAATATGAGTATAGGCTTCTGTGACTAAAGCTATGGTTAGTGCAAGACCAATTCTTTCTTCTGAAGTATAATCTCGATTGATTGTTGAGATCACTCGATCATTGTTGATCAGTCGGACAATCGACCGATAACCACGCTTGTCTTCAGGATGAAGATAGACAGCATAATTTGATCGTTCAAAATGTGCGAGTACAATTGCTTTAGAATCGGCTAAAGTGCAAGGTTCCGAGATCGAATGGGACGATGAGACATCGGTAATCTGCTGATCATTTAAAGAAGATAGTAACGAATTTTCAACAAGCAGATTGGCCATAAGAAGGATTCAGAACAAGACGAAATAATCAATAAAAGACACTTCGTATATTAAGAAATGAAATTTGAATTAATTCAAAAATGACATCTAAACGGAGACAATAAATAGGTAAATTACATATGTAAATGTGTTATTCGTAAAAATACTTGTTCGAAATACTGTAAACGAACTAACAGCAAGAACCAATCTTGCTTTGCTCGTATAAGTCTAATTTAAATTTTTTTCTGGTGTAAAATATATAGATATATTTGCTTTTAATGTTATAGATATATTTTACGTGATTTAATGTTGATAACTTAAATAACAATCTTACTTTTCCTATTTAGTGTTCTTCTTGTTATCGATCGGTTTCGATTGCAACAAGAAAAAACAAGAAATGGTGGCATTACTCTTACTTTTTACTTGTTTTTTTGCGACATGCTTTTCTTGCGTTCTCTCGTTGTTGATTAGTAAACAAACAAAGCATGTATCCGCCATGATGAGTAGATGTCATGATGAAACGATATAGTTGTCAGCTATCAAAAACAGTAGCATCCATTGCAGAGAAGAAGGAAGTTGTTGTTCGAGGCGTAATTCGACAATACTAAGGGACACTTATTCATATTTAAAAATCATTCATTTAACTACTCGTGATCGTTTCATGTTAAAACTTTTCTCTAGGCATAAAAACAATCTGCTATATAATTTAATTCAAGTATGAAATTAGAAGTATAAACCAATGAAAATTATTAATATTCGGTTACAAAATATAAAAATTTAAAAAAATAAGAGACATGAATTGTATGAAACACAGCGAAAGCTTAATCTAAAATGTATGATTAAGCACTACAACGTCATCAACACAAAAAGTCAATATTATCATCAAATATGTATTCGAAAAATATTCTAAACGAGATCTCAGATTTCGAATATGTTGGGTGTTAGTTGTGACTTAGCTGAAGACAACTGTCACATGTACTATTGCCACACTCATACCTCATATCGGCATCAACATTCACACACATTTGACATTTACATGCCCACTCATCATATTCACACCTACTACCAGCGTTCTCTAAAGCATCCAATTAAAATTGAAAAGTAAAATGCACATAGTTCGTCTTTGATAAGAACAGAGAAAATAACAAAAACTTTGTTTATTGAAAATTGTGTGAGTCCGAAGGCAAGACTGTGCTTGGTGTCGTTAGTTTGCTACTAGCATTTCATCCATTGATTGTTCTGTAAGGTCATCTTTCGCTATATCTTGTTTCGACTTCGAACTATTGATGAGATCATTTTTGATAAGGCGATAAAGTAGGACCACATTAAGAAAAGAAACAGCAAGAGTAGTAAGAGTTGTGCATACGTGGACTACAATATTAAGTCTATGCCTTTGAAAGTAAAGCGCATGTAAACAAACACCTAGAAATCCAAATCGAAAAATCATAAATGTTAGACAATTTCCAATTGTAACAAAAATGCGAATTCTTTCTTGGGACTTGATTGATAATGATTTTGGTGAATAGCAATGGAGAAGACGTCGTGCATGCAAAAAATACACTGTTAATTTCAAGTGAAAGACCATAGAGAGCATAGCCAAGATTGCAAGTGTTGAATAGTACATAACCTAGGAACGAAAATTGCAGCTATATGATGAATCACAATACCCAGTATATGTGATGCAGAATTTTATTTACAATCAACAAAGTTCCATAGAAAGTAGCCAAGCGGAAATGCAGCTAATGCATAATTAAAACGATTCGTGTGTGATAAAGGATCATCGAGAATTTCAGGTACATGTATGATGGCAATTACGACAAATATTGAAGATAGACAGGAGTGTATAAAACTTATAAATGTATTTCGTTGATGCCAAGTTGATTTTTTTGCGAGAATAATTCTTGCTTGATATTGCCACATGTCGACTGACAATGAGAAAGAAACAAAACAATGCTCTAGCATAGATTATCATCCATATAGGTGAAATAGGTCGATATGGAAATTTGTCAGATTCGTGAAAATAGAGTTGCACATGTGCGTTCGTATGCTTAAAAGTGTGTGTTGGTGTTTGTTCTGTTCTTTTTCTGGTCTCGTAACGATGGCAGCGAAAGAAAGCTTTTCTGTTGATTGCAATAATCTTGTTTTGCTTTATCATACAGGACTGTATGTCTGCATCTATTATAAAACATTTTACATCCTTCAAAAGAGAATTTTTTCTACGTTACTTTTACTACACACAAATTAACTGTTATTGCTGCACATTTACAACAGCTATACTCGTAAATATCGTTATATTCATAAGAATGTGTGGGTATTAGCATACATATATATGATATAGTCACACTCACATCTAGCAAGAACAATTTATTATTAGTCTACGTTCCCGGTTTTCGAAACAAATTATAGAGATTCATTCAATTTTTGACTGTTGTACCATCATAGCAGAATCTAGTCATTTTCTAAATAATATTGTTATTATTTCGAAGTTACATTATTAGAATAGCATTCTATTAGTATCTAGTTCATAAAACCATTGACTTGGTTTTACAAAGTATTTTAAAACACCACGAATACTTTCTTGCTATCATGTCCAGATGCTACTCAAAGTCCAAATATCGAGCGTATCAATTATGATATTCTCAGTCATGATTGGACCATTATTGACATAAATTGCCAAATATTCGGCCGTATCATCTTCTGGATAGACACGAGTTGTCATAGCCATACGGCCACCTTGTGGTTCAAACACTTCGATTACTGAATGATCGATGAAAATATTCAATCCGAGGAACCACTCATTGCTTAATGACATAGACTCTAACAAGATCACACCAGTCACTGGATCATGTGATGCTCCAGGATTTTCTTGTGATAAAGTTCGATTAATATAGATCCAGACAAATTGTTGCTGATTAGTTCGGTATTGTTTTACACCCGAGATACATGTCGAGTCCGCTTTCAATTGTGGTATACCTGTTTTGAGAAAACAATTATTATTCACTTGTTTAGTACCGGCAAATGTCCATGCACGACATTTCGCATCCTGATTGCAAGCGTATTGACAATCAAACGAGTTCGTAATTCCTGGTACACTAAAATAGTCCCATCCCGGCAAGTCGCAATTAGGCATAAATGTTGTGTTGACTCTTGTTATAACACCAATACTCGTTCGTTGACTGCCGTCCAACGTGGACAGGACGCTCAATCCGAAATCCAAATCCTATGAGAAAAAAAACTTCATAAAGAAATCGATCGAACAACTTTTGGCCGATATTTACTTGATTTCTGGGAAATTGCCAGGTCATCATCACTTCAATTTGATTTCCACTCACATCAGGAATCAGTTCGAATGGTATTATGGATGATAAAACGATATTATGAAAGGATCGATGACTTTTTTCAATGCGTAGACTTTGTAATGCATCGATTGGGCGTGATCGAAGTTGTAATCCGTCGTCCGAAAGAAAGATAGATCGTGACAGAGAAAGCATGCCTTGCCAACCTCGTGTTTCACCTTGATTATCATCTTCACGTATCCAACCTACGATCACTTGTCGATCATAAATAGGATCATGAAATGATTTTGATGCGTAAAATTTTCCTTGATCGACTAGTTGTGTATATTCGCCAAGATCGCCAGCAAGAGGATGAAAAATTTTTTGCATTGGATCGAGTTCACCAACAGCCCAAAAATCTTGTCCACGTAATGAGGCTTTCATTACAAGTCGATTAGAAACATTGAAAATATCTGGACATTCCCAGAAAGTATCATAATGGTTGCTGTGAATTGGATGTAAGTACGTCCAATTCACAAAATCACGTGATGTGAATAAGACCGCTTGACCACCTAGTTCATCCGAGCCAAATCCATAGATCAAGTAGTAATTATTTGGATCATCTTGAAAAGCTGTTGATGGATCACGTCCATTGGGACTCGTGATAATTGGATTCGATGGCCATTTAATCCATTGTGTCAATGTCGGATCTGTGACATTAGCGGGACGAGCTTGACATTGTACTTGTGCGTTAGTTTCATTGATTCCAGTATAGATGATAATAGGAACGCCATCAATAATCGATGTACTACCAGTCCAGATTCCATTGATGTCATAAGTTTGATCTGGTGCAAGGGCATTCGGTAAACGTATCCAATGAACCATGTCTTTACTATAGCAATGACCCTATAATGAAAGAATAATTCACGAAACAATATCAGAAATTGTTAAATCTGCTTGATATCACTTACCCAATATTTTTTTCCCGACACTGGCGCGTCTGGAGTATATTGAAAGAACATATGATAGTATCCATCGTAGTAGACGGGACCATTGGGGTCGTTGAGCCAATTGCTTGATGGCAATAGATGATATTGTGGACGGAAGCGATCATCAGCTTGACTGATGTTGAGAACTATAACTAAAAAAACGAAAAACACTGCTTTTTGCATATCTTATCCAAAGGTGTGGGTACGTGTGAGTGAAACAAGGATTCACATTTAAATTCTTTCTCTCGAGATATGAAAATGTGAGAAACAAGAAGAAATTTACGTCATTTGATTACGTGTACACAGTGTTGCTTTTTCTGTGTTAAACAAGTTGCGTGATTCAGTACGGTTGTTGACTAAGAATATTGCACAACATCACAAATCAAGCAATATAAATAACAGATATACAAGTGATGCTAAATGGTCGAGCTGCACTCTCGAGATATTCACCGGAAGCCCGATTTCCTTATGAGCCAATAGCATATGGACGTGGAATAACGATTCCACTATTTTGGGAATAAATCAATACCCGGCTGACATGTTTTCATGAACGTTCTCAAACTCTAAGTTGCGATGAAGCAACTGGAGCAAACTAATGGACGAAATCTTTTATTGATCTTTTACAATCGACTGAAATGTGCTGTTTTTATTGATGAGACAGAAGATATAGATTTTTCGATAACACAAAATTAAAAATAAAAACAAGAGAAAGTAAAACATGAAGAATATTTGAGATTACGAAATTACTTTTCATCAATGACAAAGAAAAAAACATTACCGGTACTGGGACTTGAACCCAGACTGAGAGATTGAAGGTCTCTTATCCTACCATTAGACTATACCGGTGTGACTATGCCTTAAGTGAAACATGTTCAAATTCTACGATATCAGATTATCCTTGACTTTCTTTTTTGTTGTTCGTAATTAGAAAACTGTATTAAAAAGATTGATCGTCATCTTCGATGAAAGTCGCTTTGACTCGTAGCAATGTTAGGAATTAACAAGTGATCGTGAAATGAAATAATAATTGGTCTCAATGATTGAGTTGATATTGAGCTGTGAAAATATGTCACTCTCTTTAATTTCATAAACTGAATCTAATTCTATTGAGATCACTGTCTGTTCGATTTGAACCAAGTTTTTACATTTTGAGATATAGGCGCAAGCAACTGAATATAGTTATCAGAAAGGAAGTTACTAAAAACGTATTGTTTTTAAGTAGTTAGAAATAAAACAAACATGTAAAATTTTAGATATTTTTCTTTCTTTAGTATAATTAACTTTTTTTCGATGCTAACCAATATGAATTATTCTGAATATTATAAGAAAAAATACATAAGCATGTGTCGGTCAGAAAAATAGAATCAATTCATACTTTGACTGCCTTCTGTTTTGCAACAGAAATAATGGAGTATGGATACAGCAAAAAACAACACCCAGACCCATACCTACACCCTCAACTTAGAAAAAAAGTATAGATTTAATATTCAAATTTGTTGAATACGAACAACAACAAAAACTTACTACTTTCATGGTTTGAACGATATATCGATAATACTATGTATAGACAAACAATAACGACGGTCAACACTATTAAAGAATGACTAAAAACTTTGAATGGCAGTGAATAGTTCAATTCCGTTTTGAATAAACATCCTATTTAAACATAAATATTAAATTTAACATGTATCACTTCGAATTTCATTATATTCCCGTATGTTTACCTCTGAGTGGTGCTATGATTACAGTCTGATGATTAATTTGTCGTTTGCTATCGACAGGAAAACTAGTTGAAACTTGAGTGCATCTGATACTCGACAAATCCGATAAAGTTGAGCTTCGTTGTCGAGCCACAATTTCTCGCACGTAATTATCAGGCTGAAGGTCGTTACTAGAAATAAATTCTCTGGTCAATGGACTCGCGTCCCATTCTCTTTTATCCAACGTGTACTAGCCTTGTGTTCATACCGATGTCCACCTAAAACCGTTTAAAAGGTGCGAGTATATTGATGTAATAAGAAATTCTATTGCTCTACTATTTGTTGCACAGTATGAGTAGAAACAAGTCATATGCCATTTGTTTTACAAGTTTTTTTTCGTTCTTTGTTTCCTTGAGAACTTGATGAAGAGAAAAACTCGAGTTATTGTATTTGCATAAGAATGATAGAATAAAAAAACGCAATCTATTCCTACAAAGAGCGGCCCCCATAAAGATCAAAAGTTTGAAAGCAATAGAATTATGAAAAAAAACACATGAAAGCAGCATGTATAAAACATTTTCTTTTCAATTCTTTTGTAAATAGCATTCTATCAAATATTCATACAGAATCAGCAACCGAAATTCGGGACATCGTTATTCTTATTAAGCATATTTATTTTACAATACTGTGATAATAAAATGAAGTTGACATACCTTTCAGAAAAGCAACTTACCGTCTGAGAGTGTGGATGTAGCTTGTTAGTGTGAATCTGGTTGTGTCTAGATTTCAAGATATTGAGTTTATTTCGATGCTTTTGAAAGCATTATGTTAAGCGATACTAGAGGGTGTGGGTATGGGTGTACGTGTGGATGTGTTCTAGTTTCTTGATACACTCACATCTACACTGATAGCCGAACCCACATCGGTACTCATACCGACACATCGAAACCCACCCACAGCCACAACCACACCCCAAAAATTTCCATAACCTATTCATCTAATGCTCCAGGAGCTTTTCAAATAAAGACATTTATCCTTGAAAATACTGAATGATTCGTAGACAAAAAAAACAAAAAATGTTGCTTTAATTTTTGGTTGCTCTTAATTTAAGATTTCTGCGCAAATTATCTTCTTAAATGATTTTCATTGAGGGTCGCTTTATAGTAGACTTGTACTTCCATACAAAAATTCGCTGATCTTTTTATAGAAATGAATTATTGTTTTTCTTTGAAGACAATATTTCTTCATCATCTGGACCTAAATAATACATAAAAGAATATACATTTACAGAGACTGATTTGATAACGTGCTTGACTAAAATCTTTGATTCAATCAATGTATTCTCTCTTATATATGCAAGGAAGTGAACAGTCACCAAAATTTCCTGAAAGCCATGACAATTCTATCTGAGTAGCATCTAACTTTCAACGCATGAACAGAACAATCATTTTATTCTTATTCAGAACGACTTATTTTATTCGATGATCAAATGATTCATTAATGACTTCAATTAGTATCTTCAATAGAAAAACGTTGTATACGTTGATTTCCACTGTCAAAAACATAAAGATTGCCACGTTTATCGAACGAAATATTTGCAGGACCTGCCAATTGGTCAGCTGCATCACCTGCGCCATTTCCACCGACAATAACAGTTCCCTGTTGTGCTCCTTTTGGCCAACGCATTACTCGATGGTTTCTTATGTCTGTTACATACACAGTGCCTATTGAATCAACGAAGAGTCCACCAGGGTATGATAGTTGTTTCAGAGTATTACCATCGCCATTATTACCAGCGACAACAACCCCTTCGGTTGCACCTTTCTCCCACTTCATTACTCGATGATTTTCTGTGTCTGACACGTAAACTGTTTGCTGCTGATCGACAAAAAGTGATACCGGATTATTAAATTGATTTTTACCGATACCTTTACGATGTCCACCAGCTACTAAGGTTCCATTTTTACTTCCCAGTGCATATCGTCTCACCTCACTTTCCAAAGTGTCGGTAACGTAGAGATTTCTTTCTTTATCCATTGCCAATCCTTCACAAAAGATGTCATCGAGAAGGAGTTCTCCCTGCATTGTACCAGGATTACGAGACCATCGAACGACACGTCGGTTTCGGTCTTCACAGATAATCACACTATTTGTTGTACTATCGAGCAATACATCAGTTGCAAAAACTACTTGATCCAATCGACTTCCTTGACCGTTGCCACCAGCAATTACTTTGCCTTCTGATGCACCCACCTGCCATTCGACAATTCGATTGTTGTTCCAGTCAGCAACGATCAATGTTTGATCATCATCAGCAAGAAAACCACGAAGATAGTAGAATTGATTGAGCGCTCCACCATACCCATTACCTCCAGCAACAGTTACACCGATTCGTGACCAAGTAGCATTAACAAGAATATTGTGAGTTGCTTATATAAAAAAGAAAGAATATGAATTGTTAGTATGACTTGAAAGACTATTCTACATAGCAAAAAAATGGTATTGATGACATATTCTTTTTCTCTTCTATGAGAACTCGATATGATTTTCGAGAATACTCGTTTTTTGTTGCATAATCACGAAGGAACTGTACTCTCTCTTTTGTCTATGAGTAATCATCAGTAAGATTAGTATAATTTTAATGCGCGATTTCTCTCATAATTAAGCTTTTTATTGTCACTTTATGTCCGTCCACATCGTTTATACCCATGTCGTAAAAATCGCTGAAAAATTGTTGATTAATCGCGATATATCGAAACGATAATTGTGAGCTGAAACGCGATTAATCGCCGATTTTTAATGATATTTTTAGCGATTATTACGATAAATCGCGATTTAGTCCCCGGTTATTTTAAACATTATCCATTGCTTTATCGCCAATCTGATATGATACTATCGCAATTTCAAAGATATTTTATTTATTTTTAATAAATTGCTTCGATTTTTTCAATTAACTTTTATTTAAAAAAATATCTATTGCTTTCATCACACCTGATGACGGTAAAGTTAATAAAGGATATAAAGAAAAAAAATTACAGTAATTGATTATTCGATTTTCATAAATTTTTCTTATGCATTTTGACAAAGAAAATACAAAACTGTTAGAATTTACACATAATAGCATGCATGTAAGAAAAAAATACATCTAAAAGTTATAGATAACTATTAAAAAACTGAATTGTAACATACCATAGCGTTAGACCTAAGTTGGTTCGATTAGACATAAAACATTATAGTAAAAAAATCATATTTAGGTAAACTGGAATCATGAGATAAATTAAATAAGTCGTCATCCTAATCACCATCCGATATGTATGTATTTGTAACACAAATTAAAGTAATCCGAGTTTAAGAATTCATCTTGTTTACATTTTGTATCTTCATTGGTATTTTTGGATGTTTCTCTTTGATACTCATAAATAAATTATTATCAGATGACATNAAAAGTAACTGCATCCAATCGACTTCCTTGACCGTTGCCACCAGCAATTACTTTGCCTTCTGATGCACCCACCTGCCATTCGACGATTCGATTGTTGTTCCAGTCAGCAACGATCAATGTTTGATCATTATCAGCAAGAAAACCACAAAGATAGTAGAATTGATTGAGCGCTCCACCATACCCATTACCTCCAGCAACAGTTACACCGACTCGTGACCAAGTAGCATTAACAGGAATATTGTGAGTCGCTAATATAAAAAAGAAAGAATATGAATTGTCAGTATGACTTGAAAGACCATTCTACATAGCAAAGAACAATGGTATTGATGACATATTCTTCTTCTTTTCTATGAGAATTCGATATGATTTTTGAGAATACTCGTTTTTTGTTGCATAATCACGAAGGAACTGTACTCTCTCTTTTGTCTATGAGTAATCATCAGTAAGACTAGTATAATTTTAATGCGCGATTTCTCTCATAATTAAGCTTTTTATTTTCACTTTATGTCCGTCCACATCGTTTATAGTATTATCAAAATTCAGCTAGAGAAGTCAAATGTTTTCTTTGCTCCTGATGCTCATATAAAGGCATGCATAACATTCTATTGAGGTCAACAAAACGAATTAAACTTCAATAAAGACGAACGATCATCAATATGGAAGCAATTATTAATTTTTACTCATGATACAATTTCAACTATTTGTGATGTGAGACCAATGGTCTGAGGAATATTAAAATAAGCAAGCTGTGTTTTAATACTACACACGAAAGAAAATTTTACACCTGGCCACAAATTAAAATTTAACATAGCTATAGGAAGTCAATTAGATGTTTACCTGGTTCTTGTGTGGTTGTTGCAGTAGTTGCCGTTGGCACGGCTGTTGTAGCGATTGTCGCTTTAAAACAAAATACAATATAGAGCTCGGTTACTTAAGATTTCAATGAAATCTAAGAGATATTTCAAAAACGATTTTGATAGAAAATCTGTTTGCTACATATGTGCCAATAAAACTAAGTAATATTTTTCATGACTGGATTTAGCCGAATCGTATTACATTGAACTTAGCATAAGCTAAGTAGAATGTCGCGTTCGACTTCTTCTATCTGGGTGTTTTTTGTTGCAAAACTCTTCCATATTTAGCATAGAATATTTTGAAGGTATTTGATCTGATTGGTTAAGCTCCATTCATAATTTCCATTCCGTTTCAAGAATCCTCTCCTCTGGACGAATTATCTGTGAAAAGGTTGTATAAGAGGTGCATTTCAGTATCTATCTCAATGAGGAAAAAATGTTTTTCAATGTACAAGTAAATAAGAAAAGTATTGATAATAGACTTTTATCAAATCACATTCATACAAACCAGAGATGTCCACAGGGCAGGGCCGCCCTGCCCTGACACCGGGCAGGACAAAATTTCTAAAAGTGCCCTACCCTGCTATTTTATAGGGCAGGGCAGGGCGATACCTTTGCGCCCTGCTCATTGGAATCAAAAGTTTCGTTTCACAAAAAGCTTTTTTATTTATCTAACAAATGTGGCATAATAGAAGAACAAGAAAGATTTCGTTATCACCTCATAACAGACTAATCGTTATGGCACGGNTTACGAGACCATCGAACGACACGTCGGTTTCGGTCTTCACAGATAATCACACTATTTGTTGTACTATCGAGCAATACATCAGTTGCAAAAACTACTTGATCCAATCGACTTCCTTGACCGTTGCCACCAGCAATTACTTTGCCTTCTGATGCACCCACCTGCCATTCGACGATTCGATTGTTGTTCCAGTCAGCAACGACCAATGTTTGATCATCATCAGCAAGAAAACCACGAAGATAGTAGAATTGATTGAGCGCCCCACCATACCCATTACCTCCAGCAACAGTTACACCGATTCGTGACCAAGTAGCATTAACAGGAATATTGTGAGTCGCTAATATAAAAAAGAAAGAATATGAATTGTCAGTATGACTTGAAAGACCATTCTACGTAGCAAAGAACAATGGTATTGATGACATATTCTTCTTCTTTTCTATGAGAATTCGATATGATTTTTGAGAATACTCGTTTTTTGTTGCATAATCACAAAGGAACTGTACTCTCTCTTTTGTCTATGAGTAATCATCGGTTAGACTAGTATAATTTTAAGGCGCGATTTCTGTCATAATTAAGCTTTTTATTTTCACTTTATGTCCGTTCACATCGTTTATAGTATTATCAAAGTTCAGCTAGAGAAGTCAAATGTTTTCATTTCTCCTGATGTTCATATAAAGCATGCATAACAGTCTATTGAGGTCAACAAAACGAATTAAACTTCAATAAAGACAAACGATCATCAATATGGAAGCAATTATTAATTTTTACTCATGATACAAATTCAACTATTTGTGATGTGGGACCGATGGTCTGAGGAATATTAAAATAAGCAAGCTGTTTTTTAATACTACACACGAAAGAAAATTTTACACCTGGTCACAAATTAAAATTTAACATAGCTATAGGAAGTCAATTAGATGTTTACCTGGTTCTTGTGTGGTGGTTGCAGTAGTTGCCGTTGGCATGGCTGTTGTAGCGATTGTCGCTTTAAAACAAAATACAATATAGAGCTCGGCTACTTAAGATTTCAATGAAATCTAAGAGATAACGATTTTGATAGAAAACCTGTTTGCTACATAGGTGCCAATAAAACTAAGTAATATTTTTCATGACTGGATTTAGCCGAATCGTATTACATTGAACTAAGCATAAGCTAAGTAGAATGCCGCGTTCGACTTCTTCTATCTGGATGTTTTTTGTTGCAAAACTCTTCCATAATTAGTATAGAATATTTTGAAGGTATTTGATCTGATTGGTTAAGCTCCATTCATAATTTCCATTCCGTTTCAAGAATCCTCTACTCTGGAGGAATTATCTGTGAAAAGATTGTATAAGACGTGCATCTCAGTATCTGTCTCAATGAGGAAAAAATGTTTTTCAATGTACAAGTAAATAAGAAAAGTATTGATAATAGACTTTTATCAAATCACATTCATACAAACACTCAAAATTCCATTGAAATCTTTTGAGCATTGATGGTACTCTTACTTGATAACAGTGGACATAGTTGTTGATTGAAACTTGGTATTGGGTAACAAACAGGAGCACTATGACATCGAGGATGATGAACACATCTATGGTTAGATTGACGGCAAATGTTATTTGGACCTTCACATGCAACCAGCTCAGAGCAAGACACGAATTCATCAGTACAAATACCAATCTCATGAGTACCGGCTATAAAGAAACAAGTACACCCACTATTTGGTGAACATCGATCATATTGAGTCCTTCCATGACAGAATTGAGAGTTTACTTGAGCTAGGAATATACTAAATTAATAGTAATATATGTAAAACGAACTGAGAATCAAACCTGTTAGACTGAAATGTAGAACACACATTCAAAGTTAGATGAATATGAGAAAAATAAATCTTACAATTACCTGAATAGAACAAATACAAAACAATAAAATACTGTTGAAACCATCGATATTGTTAAAGCGAAATAGAACAGTAGTGATTTTTGACCTCATATATAGTGGCTGTGTAATATTTCTTTCACATTGGTTNAATTTCTATTTTGTAACAATACATTTACACCCAGCTATTAAAAAATTCTCGATTAATCGTGATTAATCATTCTGATTTTCAGCGATTACGATTAATCGATTTTCGTTTCAATATCGCGATGAAATCTGATTTTATCGCTGATTTTTCAACATAATTCGATTTATCGCGATTTTACGTTCCTTTTTCGATAAATCACCGAAATCGCGGCGATTTTCACGACATGGGTAGTATTATCAAAATTCAGCTAGAGAAGTCAAATGTTTTCTTTTCTCCTGATGTTCATATAAAGCACGCATAAGATTCTATTGAGGTCAACAAAAAGAAATTAAACTTCAATAAAGACGAACGATTATCAATATGGAAGCAATTATTAATTTTTTATTCATGATACAATTTCAACTATTTGTGATGTGTGACCGATGGTCTGAGGAATATTAAAATAAGCAAGCTGTGTTTTAATACTACACACGAAAAAAAATTTTATATCTAGTCACAAATTAAAATTTAACATAGCTGTAGGAAGTCAATTAGATGTTTACCTGGTCCTTCTGTGGTGGTTGCAGTAGTTGCCGTTGGCATGGCTGTTGTAGCGATTGCCGCTTTAAAACAAAATACAATATAGAGTTCGGTTACTTAAGATTTCAATGAAATCTAAGAGATATTTCGAAAATGATTTTGATAAAAAATCTGTTTGCTACATATGTGCCAATAAAACTAAGCAATATTTTTCATGACTGGATTTAGCCGAATCGTATTACATTGAACTAAGCATAAGCTAAGTAGAATGCTGCGTTCGACTTCTTCTATCTGGGCGTTTTTTGTTGCAAAACTCTTCCATAATTATTATAGAATATTTTGAAGGTATTTGATCTGATTGGTTAAGCTCCATTCATAATTTCCATTCTTTTTCAAGAATACTCTCCTCTGGAGGAATTATCTGTGAAAAGATTGTATAAGACGTGCATCTCAGTATCTGAATGAGGAAAAAATGGTATTCAATGTACAAGTAAATAAGAAAAGTATTGATAATAGACTTTTCTCAAATCACATTCATACAAACACTGAAAATTCCATTAAAATCTATTGAGCATTGATGGTACTCTTACTTGATAACAGTGGACATAATTGTTGATTGAAACTTGGTATTGGATAGCAAACAGGAGTACTATGACATCGAGGATGATGAACACATCTATGGTTAGATTGATGGCAAATGTTATTTGGACTTTCACATGCAACCAGCTCAGAGCAAGGCACGAATTCATCAGTACAAATACCAATCTCATGAGTACCGGCTATAAAGAAACAACTACACCCACTATTTGGTGAACATCGATCATATTGAGTCCTTTCATGACAGAATTGAGAGTTTACTTGAGCTAGGAATGTACTAAATTAATAGTAATATATGTAAAATGAACTGAGAATCAAACCTGTTAGACTAAAAAGTAGAACACACATTCAAATTTAGATGAATATGAGAAAAATAAATCTTACAATTACCTGAATAGAACAAATACAAAACAATAAAATACTGTTGAAACCATCGATATTGTTAAAGTGAAATAGAACAGTAGTGATTTTCGACCTTATATATAGTGGCTGTGTAATGTTTCTTTTACATTGGTTGAGAATTAAGAAACGTGTGATATAATCCTTCAATAATTGAGAATTCGATATTTCACCAATGCTTATCGAAACACTTTACTTTTCTTCAAGAAAAAACGAACACGTCATAAAAACAGCTATTTGTTATATTAGTGCTATTTTTTGAAACGTCATTTTTGTAATTGTCATTCACTGACTCACTTTCTCATGATGACTTAGGACAATATCAAATACAAAGGTGGGGAAACACTTTGTACGTAAAATGGCCCTCAATACACTCTAAAAAAATTGGTTTTCTACTGAACCCTCAAAAAAGGTTCAGCAGTTTAGAAATAGTGTCCAAATGGCTCAAAATGCTCAAAAAAACGATTATTAAATTTTGCGAAACCTTTAAAGGTTCTTCTCCTTGATACACGGGCCGAACCTTCTACTACGAAACCTTTTTAAGTTCCGTAGTGCAAAAAATGGTTCCGTAAGAAAACACGAAACCCGTAGAGCTTCGTATTAAACCTCAGTGCTTTCGTACTAAACCTGAATGGTTTGAGAATTTCTTCTACGGAACTCTATGGGTTTCGTGTTTTCTTACGGAACCATTTTCTGCACTACGGAACTTAAAAAAGGTTTCGTAGTAGAAAGTTCGGCCCGTGTATCAAGGGGAAGGACCTTTAAAGGTTTCGCAGAATTCAATAATCGTTTTTTAAGCATTTTGAGCCATTTGGACACTATTTCTAAACTGCCGAACCTTTTTTGAGGGTTCAGTAGAAAACCAATTTTTTTTTAGAGTGTAGAAGTCACTCCGGGAAACCTTTTGGTTTCCACTTACACACCACCCACCATGAGGGTGTGGGTGTGCGTGTGAGTATGAGTATGGGTGTGAGTTATCCCTTCATTAACACCGTCACGCCCACTCACATAAAAAGACATGAAATGAAAATTGCTGTGCTCGGAAAATCTCGAGAACCACACTACTCGAATACTATGACAAGAAGCTATTGAAGTAGTAGGGTCTATATGATCTCCACTATCGTACCTGATACCATCGCCATTTTTCTCTGTGCCGAAAGAGATTTCTAAAAGTTACAAGAAACATAACAAGAGATGAAGTAATAATTGCTGTGCTGGAAAAATCGCAGGGACTACACTATCCAAGTCCTATGAGAAAGCCAGTTGTCGAAGTAGTATGGATACAAGTTGTGGATCTTCTTTGATAGAAATCATCTGTATGCATGAAAGCGTTGAAAATTTGGAACAAAATGGGTGTAGAGATGTGTGTAGAGGAAGTTTGACATGCAAGAATGGAAAAATGGTTGCAGAAATTGATAGGAAGAATAATAAACGTAGAG